CCCTAAATATTTAGTGATAAAAGATGATGGTGCTGAAATCACCTACTGGTCACTAGAAGGGGCTTGGGTCTGAGGTGCTGGATCAAGGAAGGCTAGTGGTAGGGGCCTTGAAAGTACTGATAAAGAAGTCTATCAGATGAGTGCTTTGTATGTTAGTATGTGCTTTTTTTGTTATGAAGCTTTGCAATTTTATATACAAGGGGCTGCAGAAAGTTCGTGGAGAAATGATCATCTAGTTTCTTCTTTCACAAACCTTTTGAAACCCTCTTGTCTGTGCCATCATTGTTACATATTACTCTGCAACGTACCCCTTTCATTCCACAGTGTTTCTAAGGTCTACTCATAGTGATAGGCATAGCGATCTGGCTCCTTTAAACTACCGTGATAGAATGAATATACCAGATTATTTATTCTCGTATTGCTGGACATTTAGATTGATTTCCAGTTTGGGGGTATTATAAATGATACTGCCATGAGCACAAACCAGCTCATTCAATCTACACTTCAAACACTTTTCTTGCAGTGTTTCTGAAGGTCTTTTTGGTCACCGTTTCTTTTTTCTCTTAGGAGTTGACTCAAGTGGCTGTGGAAAACAAAGCAGAGTTCCATACTCAGCCCTTCTCTAGCAAGAGCCTCTTGGACCTGGAGCAGCACCACACCTTGCTCGTGGATGGCCAGGCGCGGAAGCTGCTGGTCCTGCAGCTGACGGCACTTCTCTGCGAGAGGCTGTCGGAGCAGGTCTTCACAAACATCACTCAGGTCCGTGGCTGTCACACTCTGCAGCCCAGCCTGGTGCCATTAGTGTATTTTGGTTTCTTTTTTCCCCCCCAAAAAAAATGCTTTTAAAAAAAAAGTTCCTACATCTGTGTTCCCTGGGATGTTAGTTACACATACATTTTTGTGTCCACACCAACTGAATCCAGAGGTCCCGGGCTCAGCCTGTTTAATAAGCCCCAGAGCTGATTTTCACACACATTCATGTTGAAGAATTGTTTTTGAATATCTCCATATCGTACCATAGTGGTTTTAACTTCTGGTGTGAATAAAATTGTCTGGGATCCTTTTGCAAACTGGAGATGCCCCACCCACTCTCAGAAATTCAGATTCTTAAGGTCTGCAGTGGCGCACTGCATTGCAAGCGATCAGTAATTAAAATTTGGGGATAAAAATTACAAATGATAATAATTATACCAGCAACGTTCAGTGATGTTCTAAGGGTTTTTTTTGTTTTGTTTTTCCCCGTGTAGGCTTTCAGGATAGTGTGACTATGTGAATCAGCCTCAGACATTATGTTTACCTGCTTGTTTTTTGATGGGAAATACAAGTAGTAAAGCTAAGGCAATGCAGGTGGCTTGTTTAACTACTTCCCCAGAACCCCGAGGTTGCTTGGTGGGTGAATAGTCAGTTGTAAGATGGGATGATTGTCACGCTTAAATCTGATTCTCCAGCTCTTTGTATGGTCCTCATTGTCATCTGCCTTTGGGGTTGCTAAGCAGCATTTCACTCTCCCTCCTGCTGAGAAAATTTGCAGCTGTCTGTCAACCCTGACTTAGCTTTCCTGTTTAATGAGAATTATGTTCCTGATTTCTTTCCTGGCCTCTCATTCCTTCAGTGCACTCGCCCCATGCTCCTCAGTTGGGTGATTTGTTTCTTCTGTGTTTCTATTCATTCCCTGGAGTCTTTTTCACCCAGACCTTATGTCTTTGTCTCAGGATGCCACTTGGAAGGGGAAATGGTCTAAAAATTGTTATGACTTGAGCCTTTGCACTTAGTGCCTTTTACTCCTAATTAAGGAACAATGGTGTTAGCCGGTGACAAAAGTGATTTGTCCCATGGAATTGTCCAGCAGCAAAGGTTAAGATGTATCAGGACCCAAAGAAATACTAACCTGCATTTAGTAGTCCTCCTGTTAGCGATGAATTTACAGTGTTATTTTGAAACATGCACACACACACATACACACACAAAGATATAGCAAATACGTTATGAGTAATTTTACTAAAAGGAGCATTGAGGTACAACAGTTAAGCCCTCAGTTGCTAATGGAAAGGTTGGCAGTTCAAAACCACTGAGTGTCTCTGCAAGGGGAATGCTTGGTAATATCTCCTTGTAAAGCTTATGGCCTAGAAAACCGAAAGGAGCTGCTCTACTCTTTCACATGAGCCAAAAACTGATCCAGCAGCATGTAATAGCAATGACCTTGTAATGTCATAATAATAACAATTTTTATCATAAGAACAAGTGAAGAATCTAGCTGAAAGAAACCTGTAACAGTGATTTTTTTTCAGTTGGAAATATTAGTGGGAACTTACGATTCATTTTGCCCTTTAAAAAAAATCCTAGTTCTATCTACTGTCAGTGCCTAAAAGCAGTGACAACTTATTAACAATGAACATTCCTAATGTCTAGATGAGAGTTTCTAAAGACATTCCCTACTAGAGGACACAAAGCTACGTGGAGTAGTGATGGATTGGAGGTGTGGGACTAGATTAGACACTGAGCCGCAAGGCATGTTGTGCTTAAATGCAAAGATGCTAACTCAAATGAATGAGGTCATGTCAGTAGAACCCCAGAAGCTAACCTGTCCCACTGGCCAAAGACTGGACAATGTTGTCTACAAGGGATTGAGACACGGAAGAGATAGAAAATTCAGAATAAGGCCACCAACAATAAAAAGACTTCATAATTAATCTTTGGAGGTGGCTAGGGAATTCAACTCATTGCTTTGTAAGTAAAGGAAAAGAGGCAAACATTCATCTGACCTTTCCTTAGGAATTGTACTTCAGCATAACCAAATAGCTAATAAATGAAAACTTTTTTTAATGCAAAAACTTGTGCTAAAAGCACATGAAGAAAACCAACAAGTGACATTTTGCAGCCTCTAATGAAACAATCATCAATGTCTCTTGAAGCCATTTCGTGAACTATTGATTACATGAATTTTATCATGGTATTAGGTGGTAGTAGACTAAAAACACAAACCAACTGGCTGACTTCCCCCCCCCTCTTTATTATGAAAAAATCTTAGACCGCAAACTTGAAAGAATTGTATAAGAAAGAACTGGATTTTAACATTAATGTTTTACTAACCTTGCTTTATTACATAGCTCTTTATTATTCTATCCCAGTTTCATCTTATGCTTGGTACTTTTCCATAGTAATACAGGTGTCACTATGTATGTCCCCCCAAAATATTTCAGCCTGAACTGATTGTTCTTCAGAACTAGTCATCATCATTCGGCCAAGCAGATATTATGTGCCTCCTGACATATCACAGTAGAAAGTCAGCAGCACCACTTAGGAGGGATTCTTCTAAAGCAAACCAAAAATTGTCCCTTGCCCCCGAGTCTTATCAAGGTTATTCAGCTGATAGAGGAGCAAGTGAAACAATGCCACGAGGAAGCACCCAGCACAATCTAGACTCCTGCAACAGATCCTAGGACATCCTGTAATGCAGATGACCCAGGTTCCTTATTGAATAGATGCCATGAAACAGAGGTGGCAGTGCTATGGCAGCTTTAAAGGGACCTAGGAGACATGCCAGCCAAATGCAATGTGTGGATCCCTATTCAAACAAACAAATTGCATAAAAGATATTTGGCAATAGTCAGGGAAAATTTAACCTGAGGAGCCCTGGTGGCATAGAAATGTAGTGTTAGATTGCTATCGGAAAGGGCAGCAGTTTGAAGTCACCAGCTGCTCCGAAGGAGAAAGACGGGCTTTCTACTCTCATAAGACTTAGTCTCTCAGGGGAATAGATCTATGTGCATATATTTATAGGTTTAGTATTAAGGTAGCAGATGGATATTGGGCCTCCACTCAAGTACTCCCTCAATGCAAGAACACGTTGTTCTATTAAACTGGCATTCCATCATGCTCACCTTCCCTACAAGATTGCTGAAGACAAAGCAGGTGCATGAGCAAATGTTGTGAAGAAAACTGATGGTGGTCGGCTATCAAAAGATATAGTGTCTGGGGTCTTAAAGGCTTGAAGGTAAACAAGTGGCCATCTAGCTGAGAAATAACAAAGCCCACATAGAAGAAACACACTAGCCTGTGTGATCATGAGGTGTCGATAGGATCAGGTAGCAGGCATCAAAGAACAAAAAATCATATCATTGTGAATGAGAGGGAGGAATGGAGACCCAAAGCTCATCGGTAGGCACCTGGACATCACCTCACAGAAAGGTCTCAGGGAGAAGATGAGCCAGCCAGGGTGCAGTGTAGCAACGATAAAACATACAATTTTCCTCTAGTTCTTAAATGCTTCCTCCTCCCCACTATCATGATCCCAATTCTACCTTAAAAATCCAGCTAGACCAGAGGATATACACTGGTACAGATAGGAACTGGAAACACAGGGAACCCAGGAAAGATGATCCCTTCAGGACCAGTGGTGAGGGTGGAGGGCAGGTTGGGTAGAAAGGGGGGACCTGATTACAAGGATCTCTATATAACCTCCTCTCTGGGGGATGGACAACAGAAAAGTTGGTGAAGGAAGACGTCTTGCCGTGTAAGACTTGACAAAATAATAATAATTTATAAATTATCAAGGGTTCATGAGGGAATGGGGGCTGTGTTGGAGGGGAAAACATGAGGAGCTGATACCAAGGGCTCAAGTAGAAAGCAAATGTTTTTAGAATGATGAGGGCAACAAATGTACAAATATGCTTGACCCAATGGATGCATGTATGGATTGTGGTAAAAGTTGTACAAACCCCCAGTACAATGATCAAATAAATAAAAAAAAGTTATGGTCTCAGAAAGCCACAGGGGCAGTGAGCTGAAATCTATTCGTTGGCTATGAGTTTGGTTTTAGTTTTAGGTATGTAAAGATATTGTGGAATTCTTATTGGGCTATCATGATATGGTAATTTTATCAAAATAAAATAAAACTGCCTTCGCTGTTAGAAATGTATATTGACATATTTATGGATGAAAAGTTTTAAAAGTAAAATATGTTGAGAGATGGCATATTAGTCAAGAAATTAGATGATGTGCCTGTCACTTTGGGCAAATCTGCAAAAGACCTCTTTAAACGTGTTAAAGAGAAGCTGCCACTTTGAAAACTAAGAGGTTCGCTACCACTATGCGAACGACAGTGGCGCTTTCTCCAGCCCAGGGTTCCAGGACAGGGAGTGATGAGGGACCTTTACACGCCCTTCCTTTTCCCCTCCACAGCACACAAAACAATTTCCGAATTCTTCGAACAGTGTTTAGTTTCTCAAGGTCTCCCTTAGCACAACAGAACCAGAAATGGCCACTGCTTCGGGGCCAGGGTAAGAGCTGCTTTGTTTTCCTTGCCCTGCCACATAACAACATAAATGTTGGAGTGGCCGGTGCTTTCAAACTGCTGGCTTTGCAGTTAGCAGCCCAAGGCATCCCCTGTGTCACCGGGGTGCCTCACCTGTCTCTGTAGATTTGGATACTTATTCTAAATGGGCTCATGCACTGTATATGGTATTTTGTGACTGGCTTCTATGTATGCTTTTTTTTAAATGAAAATACTTTGTTGTCTTTTAAAACTAGAAAAAATAATGTTTTTTTAAAATATATAGTTGGGAAAAGATAGTTCACAAAAGAAAACCAAAGCTGACCATCACATCACAGTTAACTGCCTCCCTCCCCCACTTTCATATATAATCACACAGTCTCTTTCTTCACACCCATGGGGCCATCCATACTACTTGTGATGGAGCCTTTTTTTTTTTTTAATATTGTTGAGAGAAACAGAAAAAGTAGGAAGCCTGGAGTGTTCTGTTCCATTAATTGAACAATGCATGCAGCTGAAAGAGAAGCTTAGTACAGATCAGGAATGCTTTAGAAAACTCTCTGGAGGCAAAGTAGGCCCAAGGTGGTTAGATGCAGCAATTTCCCTCGGAAATTAACGAGTGTCCTTAACTTCTGGTATCAATAAAGGCGTAGGAGAGTGAAAATTGCCATAATCAGCGTTGTTCATTTCAGTAAATGGAACTTTTAATAACCCTTTTTAGTGTCCTGCCTTGCTCCAAAGACATGCGTTAACAAGCCATTTTCCTGACTTTAAGCTCGTAATAAGGATTCTTGCACAGCATGTGATTTGTCCAGAGAGTTAAACATGCAAGCTTGCATGATATTTGAGGGCTTATTATGTACCCGTCCTAGCCTCCCCATTTCTGAAATGATTTCTCCTTTGCAGACATTAATCCTAAATGTGTATGTGTATGTGTGCGTGCTCTTTTATTAAAGGTGTTTCAATTTAAGATGATTAATCCAGTGCAGTTGGAATGATGCTGACCAAATTAATTTCATTTACAGCTTAGTTGTTAGCCAAATGCTATGTAAAGTCTTGTTTATGCATAATCTTAATCCTTTAAAAAATATTTGGTACTTTGAAAATGACTGGATAGTTTGTCCAGATTGAGGACATTGGCTTCTTGATATAACTGGACCCCCTCCCTTTCATTCTTTGTTTATTAGAATTAACCAAAATTAGGAAAACCTCCCTAGAAAAGCTGACCTAGGGCCTCCTGAGATGTCAAGAAAGCCACAAATCATCTTTTAGTTTTCATTTCCTGTCATAATCCATGAACAATAAAGGAAGTTAGATGACGCTATTAAAACATTTAGGAAAATGTAAATGGGCTTTCTCATTTATTAACTGAATGGCCTTGAGCAAGTAACCTTTTTAAGTCTTAGATTCTTCATCTGAAAATAACAAGACTAGCACACAACTCAGGAATTGCTATGAGGCCTGAATGAGATTGTGCATCATGTAAAGCACTGAACACCACACCTGCTACCCAGCAGCACTTGTTCTTGCTGGATGTTGGTGAGGAGGTTGACATGAGATGTGTGAAGAAATCTGGGGACTTTTTCCTTATTCCTTGCCGATTCTAAATTCTGATTCTATGGTAGGTGGTGGACTTTGTAGGAGCAACTCTGCAGAGAGCATGTGCAAGCTTGGCCCAGCAGGCGGAGAGCCCCGTGGAATCACAGACGCTGAGCATGGCCATGGGGCTGGTGGCTGTCATGTTGGGAGGAGCTGTTCAGGTGAGTGCAGACATAAGCCAAACTTAAATGGGAGAAAAGGAGAAGAGAAAAACCTGTTGTCTACCTTCTGTATTCTTGTGAGACTAGGAATGGGTATTGCACCTAAGAGAACCAGGATAAACAAGTCAGACGGTCAAGGACAATTCTCTCCAAAGTAGAGGACAAGAAATTTCCCCATCTGTGCAAAGTTTACTTTCAGATGGGTGGAGCCCTTCCTGACATGGAACAAAGTGGATATTGAACTGATGCTTTGCATCAGTGGATTGAGTATGAGTACTAGGTTCTCTGGACTACTCTGCACTGACTTACCAAAATGAAGCCCTTTTCCCAACCACTGTAGTCTGGGGGAAACCTTAGTAAGTAACCTGCTACGTGCTTGGGACTCACATCTGTTTGAAATAGTTTAATTTTAGCACAGAATTCATTGTTCAACAAATCATGGAGCATGCTAAAGCTTTGTTTTCAGCCACTTCTGGAGTCTGTGTTTCTTTTATATTCTTAATTCATAATTTAAAATATGTTTTCTGTAAAAATATGTATTATGAACTTGCCATGTGCTGTGCTAAGGTCCTCGGCATCCAGTAGTGGACAAAGCAGGTATGTACCCATATCGGAAGTGGGTACCAAGACCCACCCAAGAACTGGAGTGTACCAACAGAACCCCTAATCCAGGTTGGGAAGGCTTCCACTGAGGAAATGTAATTTTTAGCTTTGAAGGGTGAATCAGAGTTATTAGAGAGAGCAATGGTGGGCCTACACAAAACAATGATTCTGCGGATGGCCCAGACCAGGCAGGCTTTCATTCTGTTGTACAGAGGGTTGCTGTGAATTGGAACCAACTCCATGGCACCTGACAGCAACAACAGCAAAAACAAGGAGGGAAAGACGGTCAGAAAAGGTGGGATGGTTGGCAAAGGCTTATCGTGTGTGTGCGCGCTTGTGTGCGTGTATGCGTGCGTGAGACTGGTTAATTCTGTATCGTGTTATGTCAGGAGGCTACAACAAAGCAGAAGAAGCTTAGTGTCAAACCAGTTGTTGTAGGATCCATCCTGACTCATGGCAACTGCACGTGCATCAGTAGAACCGTGCTCCATTAGGTTTCCAGTGTCCAGTGTGGGGGAAGTAGTTGTAACCATTAGCAATCAATAGGACAGTCTTTATATTGGCACTCTGTGATAAGCATTGGGCTGCCAACTCCAAGGTTGATGGTTCAAACCCACCGGCTCCTCCAAGAGAGAAAGATGAGGCTGTAAAGATTTACGTTCTCAGAAACCTTAGAAGTGTTGGAATCAACTTGATAGCAGTGGCTTTAGGTTTAATACAAGAAGAGGCTGGAAGCATGTCATTGATTTTAAAGTGGCACATGCAGCAAGTGAAGGTGATTGTGAAAAATAATTTGTTGAAAGTAGAGGTTGGATCATTTCAAAACCAGAAACATGAAGTTGACTGCTATTGAGTCAATCCCAACTTGTAATGAGTGACCCTGTGGGACAGCCTTTTTGGGTTTCTGAGGCTTTAAATATTTAAGGGAAAAGCCTCATCTTTCTCTGTTGAGGCGTCTGGTGGATTTGAACTGCTGACCTTGAGGGTAGCAGCCCAATGTGTAACCGACTACACCACCTTAATCATGGGTCCCTTAATCATGTCAAAGTGAGGACAAATTTACATAAACTCAAAGGCAAGTTACCCATAACTTGGACAGTAATAACCTGGGGACTGTTTGTATTAGAATTTGCCTCTCTTGTTATGGAGTAGGCATTAGGCTGCTAACTGAAAGGTCAATAGTTCAAACCTAGCAGCCCCTCCATGGAAGAAAGATGAGGTTGCGCCCTTAAAAATTTAGTCTCGGAAATACTGTATAGGCTCTCCATGAGTCAGAATAAATTCCATGGCAGTAGGTTGTTTTGTTGATAGCTTGTCCTTAAAGAGATTAAGAGTTTTATCTGGACCTATTGTTAATGCCCACTTTTTGATTCATTTTCTAGAACCATATTGCATCCCTTCTGTTAGAACTACAATTTTAATATTGAGGGGAGCTCACAGTGAAATAGTTTTTCTTGAGTAATATTGCTATTGGATTTAGTTGGACTGATTAATTCTTGTCTTTCTGGATGAATACAAATTTCTTATATTCTTTGTTTCCACAAATTGAGTATCCCTTTTGATTTCTCCTTTTATCATTTAACGTTCATAATTTCAAGCCACATCGCATGTGGAAAATGGATCACAGAATCTGCACTTCCTTCTTTGGAAGACCGTTTTTGGAGAGCTCACTGTGTAAATTAGTCATGTTGTAAGAGAGACTCACCAGACTGATGCAAATATATTTTTCCTTGCCTCTCCCTGCCCTTCAGTGATCCATCCTGACTCACTAATTACATCCTGGATTCCTCTGACTTTGCAGTTCCTGAAATGAATACACGGGTCACCCCTATACTTGTGCCCCAGATTTATTGTGGCTCCCCTCCCCTCCGATTGATTCATGAATTTCTGTGTCTTCTTTACTAATACTAAGTCTTCTGTTTTTGTATTAGGGTGAAAAAAACCCTATATGATTCTGAATTATGTTTACAGATTATTCTTATCAGGCTTGAGTCTTGCTTTAGAGTCTAGGAAGCTACACTGTACCCACCCCCACCCCCCGTTAGGATTTATTGTTTTGACTAATGAAACAGAATCTAGCACCATTTGAGTCTTCTTTCCTTTCCTTTCTAATTTGTGTAATGAAGGTGATCATTAGAACATCATGTCTGGGAAGAGGAGCTAATTTGGAGAAAGTGTAGGTTTAAGACTGCTAACAAGACTACTGTAATTTCAACCTCATTTTCCAAATTTCAGGGTTGACCATCAGTAAAAATCTTAGGATGGTTCCCTGTTCCTTCAGGAAACAGTTTGTGCACGATATTCCAGGGGTCTTTGGGTCCCCCACAGCAGGCCAAGCAGGCCAATCTAGACCTTTTTTTTTTTTTTTCCCTAGACCTTCTTTAAGGGAAACAACATCATTGCTTCTAGGAGGCCTTGGAGCCTATCGGTTGAAAACTGGACCTCGAATTTGTAAATCTAGATTCCATTATTTGCTAGATGTATGTTCTTGGGCCACTTACTTAACCACACTCCTCAGTTTCCCATTAAAAAATCGCACATTCCCTCATATGGTTGTTGTAAGGAGAAGTGAAAGAGTAAGTGAAAAGTTTTTAGCTCTCTGCCTGTCACAGGGAAGGCACTTAATAAACGTTAGACATGCATTATTCTGATGACTATTATTATGATCTTCTTCCCTCTGGCCTCAGCCAAGGGGTTATGGTGAATCCATTAAGCTAGTGTGTTGCCAGCATGATGCCTTTTTGTTCCAATTAAAGATTTAAACCAAGGATTTATTATGTGCTTATTATGAGTTAAACATGATGTATCCGAGAGAATGCGAAGAGAGTCTTTGCCCAAGTAGTCGCAATGCAGTATGCCATCAAAACTGTGACAAGACACATTGCTTAATCCCCTCTGCTTAGGTTGGTTTGAGAAGAAAGAATAACAGCAGCAGCAGCAATACCGTGTAGCGAATGTTTACCAAAGGCCTGCTAACCCCCAGACCTTGTAATAGGGAAAAGACACGTGGTGTCATCGTCAGCCTTTCAACCGCGTCCTCTTCTCAGCCCCATTGTACAGCTGAAGGTATGAGTACAGTGAGGCTGAGTGCTGTTGTTAGGTGCCATCAAGTTGGTTCCGACCCATAGCGACCCTATGCACAACAGAACAAAACGCTGCCCAGTCCTGCACCATCCTCATAATTGTTCCTATGCCGGAGCCTGTTGTGGCAGCCTCTGTGTCCATCCATCTTGTCAAGGGCCTTCCTCTTTCTCGCTACCCCTCTACTTTACCAAGTGTGATGTCCTTCTCCAGGGACAACATGTCCACAGTATGTAAGATGAAGCCTTTCCATCCATGCCTCTAAGGACGCTGAGTAACTTGCCTAAAATCTGCCAGCTAGTAAATGTTCGAGCTGGCATGAAAAACAAAATAATGGAGATAAACAGTATAATAAAGTGCACAAAATCTAAGTGTACAACTGGTTTCATGTTAATCAATACACCCATTCACCTATTCCCTCAGATCCAGATGCTAAACATTTCTAGTGCCCCAGAAGTCTCCCTGTGTCCCTGCGCAGTCTACACCTATTGCTCCCTCAAAATGTAAACTCTCTGACTCTCACCACCATCAATGGATTTTGTTTACGCTTAACTTCATGTAGGTGGAATTATACCATATGTACTCTTTTATGCCAGGTTCCTGTTCCGCAACAATATTTTTGAGGTTCCTGTTAGTGTTTGCAGCAGTTGTTCATTCTTTCTCATTGCTGGATTGTGTTTCATTATATGAATATATTATAGTTCAATTCTGATGCGTGGAACACTTTTAAACAGATCTACACTTTACATCCTGTGTGTGCATATGTATACCTCATTAGTAAACAGGGCATACTGTGTACACTGACTTAGAACACAAGTCAGAATCTCACTCAGAAATAAATTCTGAGGTCAGTCAAAAATAGCAAGTGAGTCAAATTTGAAACATAGTTGATAAACAAAAATGAGAACATAAGGAATAAATGTAAACAGCTCTCTCTATTAAGACTTTCAGGCCGAGTTTCTGGGTAGAAGAAACCCTGGGATAGTGATTTCAATGGAGCAGGGTAATGGAGGCGAGAGGAGCTATAGGAAGTCCAGGGTTACTGACAGTGTTTGCAGGGCACCTGGTACCACACTTTGAAACAATTGAACCAACCCCTGCCCTCAACTAGGTCCTCATCACAGTCATCGTCACTTACTGCGAGTGCAGTTTCTAAATCGTTGAAATGTCTCCTCACCTTGGCTTGTTCTTAAGCAAGGCTAAATAAGAACCTTCTGTCCCTGTTCTGACTCACTTACGAATTGGGTGTAAATGACACATGTGGGAACTGATCTCATTTCATAACCCAGAGAATGCCTGCATGAGGGCCTTCACAAAATTGCTGCCTTTTCCTTTCAATTCAGTATTTAAACCAATGATTAAGATTCATTCCATGGAAAAATGGAATGAAAGGATAATTACATTTTTCTATGAACTTTTAGAAGACCTGATGAAAACCCACGGCCATTGTATCGAGTCACTTCTGACTCATAGTGACCCTCTGTGGGGTTTCTGATGCTGTAAATCTTTCTGGGAGCAAGATAGACTTCTCTTTCTCCCTCTGCTCAAATGGTGCATTTGAACTGCTAACCTTTGATTAAGACCTTAAAGGGTTTTTTAAAATACTCTAGGGGGCCTTTTCAGCTTATGTGAGCACTCCTCTCATTGTTACCCCATTCTGATAGGCTTCCCTTAGAGAAGGCACGCTCTCTACTCCCACCCCCTTCAACTCCTGTCCTGCCAATCCAGTCCTTAAATGATTTTGAAAACTTGCAGAAATGTAGGACCACTCTCAATCCTGACAGTCCGGAAAGGAGTTGAGATGTGGCTGATAGGGCTCTGCTCATTCCCCAGAGCATTCTAGAAACCCTGGAAGAGAGGCCCCGTATCTGTCACTCACTTGTCTCTGCTGCTTCTCCTCGGCCTTAGGGCTTTTACACTGAACTCTGAGATCTGCATTGAGAAGTGGTGACAGCAAAGGAAAGGGAGTGGGGCAGAACTCACTGCCATGGAGTTGATGCTGACTCAGGGACCCTGTAGGACAGAGTAGAACTTCTCCGTGGGTTTTTGAGTCTGTAACTCTTTAGAGGAGCAGAGGCCCCGTCTTTTTCCCAGTGACAGCAGGAAGAGGAGAAATTAGGGCAATATTTCTCAACTAGTGATAGTGAGTCACCAGTGACCCTTGAACAATAATTTACCACTTAAGCGCTTCAGTTGTTTTATTTACCAACTAAGTGAATCTTATTTTAGCCCTTAGAAGTGATTTTAAACATGTATGGGCATCTGGAGTCTTAGACTTGCTTGATTAGTCTCACAGTAGGAAACCTGTAGCTTATGAAACTGAAAGAATATGTAGCTTAAATAAACTGCGTCATAAAGCATTTGATTAAGATTCTATCTGCCTGCCCATGGTGGTCAGCATACTTATCTAGTTGATCACTATGAACTCCACAGTGACACACACAAAAAAAAGGGTGTGTGTGTGTATGTATGTTTAAATTGTTCTCTTTCTCTCAACAGTTTTATTGGCATTGTATGATATTCACATATCATGCATTCACATACCCTGGATTTTTGAATGTTGATGGGGGTCTTCTCCCATGGACACATTATTTGTATTTTTGTCTTTATACTAATAGGATCTTATCCTTACCAACTTAGTGTGATTTGCTTTTCATTGTTTTCTGTGGGGTTTCCCAGCTGTGAGGCACAGGAGGCGTGGATGTATAATGGTCACAAAGGATACCTAGTGTTCTAGGGAATGCAGGGATGAGGGATGGGCGATAAGGAGGGAAGGGGAATTGGGGAGTCAATAATGAGGGGGGGAGGGAGGAGGGAGCACTAGAACTGATCATAATTGTATAACTCATTTGAAAGGCAATTCAACCACGGGGGGAGTGAATGTTCTAAGAGAGATGTGATGGTGTCTGTATAATTCCTCTCGATATGATTGAATGATTTAACTATTCAGTTATATGATACGTGAATTATGTGCCAATAAAACTGTTGAAAAAAAGAACAAGTGCCCATCCCATCCCCCTCCCAAAAGAAGAGGGTACAATCATCATCACAATCAGTTTCAGAACATTTTCTTCATTCTTGCACTCATTGTTATTAGCTCCCAATTTCCACCCCAACCTCCCCTGCCATACTCCCAAGGAACCATTAATCTAGTTACTGTCTCCATAGATTTCCCTATCCTGGATTTCA